CATCTACGTAAGCGAAAAAAATGAATAACAGAAAAGTCTTTCCATCATCTTCTTGCTGTGCATCTACGTACACAAAGCTTGTTTCTTACACACTTTTTTCTGTTTTCTTTTTCATTTGCCTTTTTTTCCTTTCTTTTTGTGAATTAGGGAGGAAGTAGTTTACCATGAGAAGAAGTATTGGCAAGCGACTGAACCTCTGAATATTGAAGATGAAGGACAAAAAGATGCAACACCAATAGTATAGCTGACATTGATTTCACCATGTTTCTGAAATTTCGGAACACTTCGCACTTTGATGAAGGCACCCTTCTGTGTAATTTATAGAGGGTAAGGCTAAGTAAGTTGACTTAAAATAATGATTTCAACAATCACATGATAAAATGATGACAAAATAATGCACATGGAGGCATATGTTTCTGAAATATGAAGATTTTCCCGAGTACCTAGGGATTTTGTTGTGTCGAAATGAATGCATTATTTTTCATGTGTTATCTCATTTAAGTCACCCGATTTCAATAATACACATATAATAAAAATAAATATTCGAAGTGAGTACATTAATTATATAAAATAATATTTTAAAGTAGATATAATAAGATTTAGATAAATAAATAAATAAAATACTTTAACAACATATTCGGGGGTTGTACTTGTGCTATCGAGCTTGACACCTGTATTACACATGCAGGAAGCTCCAAATGACAAACACATCTCTATTTCCGTGCAAAGGAGGAAAATTGTTTTTACAATATATTTGCAATGTCTTAGCTCCATATAGAAATAATATATGTACCACTAGAGCAACTCCAGCGGTATGACGACACCTCGGGCTGGGGAAAAAAAAGAAGCGAAAATCCGTCTCCAGCGAGGAGCCCAAGCCCTAGCTGGGAGTGGGTAACACGAAGACGGGTTGGCCTGAAGGCCAGTTTCGCCCGAGCTCGAGCTCGAGGGTTGATGACGTCAGGCGCGACGTCATTGCGCGGTTTAAAAAATTTAAATCAGCGTGCGCTAACGTCAGCTCTACGCAAGCTCTAATGGGTAGAAGACAGGTGTCACACCCCCAGCGCTCCGATCTGCTTCTCCTCCTCCAATCCAACGGCTGACATTTTTTTGGCAATAAAATTATAGAAAAAAATCGAAATTTTTTTTAAAAATACTAAAAAATTCTGATTATTTTTATTTTTATTTATATAAATACCTATCAATACCCTTCACTTTCAACACCAATCCTCATACATTTTATTCTACTTCTAGTATCATTCACTCTTTACTCAACATTTTCCTCTCTTTCACCTTGTATTTTTATTTCTTATCTTTATGACTTTTTCTATCGAAACCGGAGGGGCGTAGAGCACCATGGAAGATGTTTCCTTGTCTGAGGCTTGGCTCCAAGTTTTTCATTGTCCCATGTCAGGCAATGAGATGAAATTTTTTCATATGTGGAAAAAAATTCATGCCGAATTTTGTGAAAAAATTCCGGGGTCTACTTGTACGAAAATGACATTGTCTAGTAGGTGGAAAATTCTCAATAAAGAGTTGGAAAAATGGAGAGATGTCTTGGCAAAAGCGATGGACAACTATAGAAGCGGGGAAAATCGTAGTAACGAGGTAAGTATTTTGTAATTTTCGTTTTATTAAGTTTAATGTCCTAATATATATATTTTGTTAATATTTATTGCATTTTCAATATTTTTTTAATATTTCTTGCATTTTAAATATTTCCTTAATATTTCTTGCATTTTCAATATTTTGTTAATATTTTTTGCATTTCCAATTGTTTCTTAATATTTCTTGCACTTCCAATTTATTTATAAGGTTAATTGCATTTCCAATTTTTTATTTTTGTTGCATTTCCATTTTGTTTTTTAAATAGATGATTCAAGCACAGATGTGGTTTGGTGCAACTGGGCAAGGGAAAAAAAGTTTCAACCATCATGAATGTTGGGAGGTGGTGAAAAATGCAAATGTTTTAGAAATATTCCCAAGGGTTCCGCCGTTATGTTAAACGAGACGCCACTCCGTGATTAAATGACATCAGATTCACCTATCGATTCCCCTATGAGTCAAGACTCACCCATCGAAAAGGAGCCAAGGCCCATTGGCCGAAAGGCGGCGAAGGCAAAGAAAGCGGGTAATTCGAGCAATAATACATAAAATTTTTTGGAGAAAATTGCAAGGCAGAACCAAACCATAATTTAAATGGAGCAGAAAAACCAAGAGAACGAGATGGCAATTCAAGCCGAGTATGCACAAGAAAGGGAGTAGTTGCGCAAAAAAGAGATATACAAGACGGATCGGGAAACCATGACGATGGATACAAGCCATATGTCCCCTAAAACAAAACAATTTTGGAAGCTAGAATGAAGGGATGTTATGAGAAGAAGACTTTTCCAGGATGATGGGCCTAGCAACACAGATTGGTTAAATGATCAAAACCATTAAATTAGTTGGCATACCTTTTATGTATTTGTATTTTTCATGTTTTCTATTAAAGTTGTTGTAATTCATGTATTTTATTTTAGTAGTAGTAATTCTTAATGACTTGTATTGGATTTCTTTATTTAATAAACAAAGCATTCAATAAAATACCTTTTTATTCAACATATTCCATACGTCAAACAAAACATAATTAAAATAAAATAAAAAACTACAAACAAGGCACAATAATAATAACAAACCACAACTAAACCATAATAAATAAAAAACAACACAACCAAACCATAACTAAATAAAACATAACCAAAGCATCTATGCTCCGTCATTCATCTTCATTGCCTTTCACCGCCCATAGATGCTCCATCAAGTCAAGTTGACTCCTTTCATGAATATACGAAGATTACATCTCTGTATATCGATCTATTATTCGGGTCATGAAACGACCATCCTTCACTAATGGTTCCGGCTCAAATGGTTATCCACTTGGCCCCATGGGCCTTTCATAAATTCGTGTCAAGGCCGTGTTCATGGGATCCAGTTCGTAGACCTCTACAGCATCATAATCGTACTCATCCTCCACAATCATATTCTATAGGATGATGCAAGTCATCATAATGCTTCTGAGGATCTCCTCATCAAACATACTGGCTGCACCTCGAATAATCAACCACCGAGCTTGAAGGATGCCAAAACACATTTTGACATCTTTCCTGTATCCTTCTTGATAGGTAGCAAATAATTTTTGCTTCTGGGATCGGGGATTCGGAATGGATTTGACAAATGTGGTCCACCTCAGGTAGATGCCGTCAGCTAGATAATACCTCGTATGGTAGACTATATTGTTGACTTGATAGGTGATATTGGGGCCTTGGCCTCTTAAAACATCGTTGAAGACCGGGGATTGACCCAGCACGTTGAGGTCATTTTGGGATCCGGCAACTCCGAAGAAGGCATGCCAAACCCATGTGTCGAAGCCAGCAACGGCTTCAAAGATGATACTTTTTTGGCATTTCCTATTTTTGTAATCACCTTGCGAAACAGTTGGGCAATTCTTCCATTGCCAGTGCATGCAATCAATGCTACCAATCATTCCTGAAAATCCTCGAGCTTTGGCTTTTTGTAGAAGCCGTTGGAGGTTCCTGAGAGTAGGTCTGGAGTGTATAGAGTTTCAACTGCATCACAAAATCTTACCAAAGCCTTCAACGTAGGGGACTTCCCCATCTTAGCAATCTCATCAACCTAATCCGCATATGCTTTATACGCCAACATTCGTATAACAGCTATAAGCTTTTGCTCCGGAAGAAGTCCCAAAACCCCAGCAGCATCACACTTTTGAACAAAGTATGCATCATAATTGCAAATATCATGCATGACTTTATTGAACAAATGGGGTTGCATTCTAAATCTCATTCGAAAATCAACATCAGAGTACAAAGAAGTTGGGATAAAATAATCTTCGAAAAGATTCTTACCCCGATAATGCCTATATCTGTCCACATTCTGGCGACGGCCGACTTGTGAACCACGGCGGCGACCTTGGTTCTCTTCATCTTGCAAAGCCACTGCTATGACAACTTGTTCATCGACTTCTCTCTGCAACATATTTATTTCATCTGCTCTACGGTTTCTCTCATTTGTTTCTCTCTCTTTCCTCTCCAAGCATCTCCTAAATTCTTCTATTGAGAATGAATGGAGTATGAATTCTAAACTCTGAGAAATGGAAATATAGAAAGATGTGGTGTGAGAGGTATGAGCTGAGCCTATGGTTTTATAGAAGATTTTGGGAAGATAGAGATGCCACGTGGCTTGATTTGATTGGATGAAAATCTTATCTGAAATTTGAACACAAAAATCTTATCCGGAAATTTTATCCGATTATGAATAGTCTTGACACGTAGGAACCCGGAAATCTTATCCGAAAATGTTATCCAAATTAATTATTGAAGTAAAAAAATTTGTGAAAAAAAAAAGAATAGTAATTGCCCTTTGCCATGACAACGAGAGGAAACACACAATACTATTTGCAAGGGCAACCACTATTCACGTGAATAGTGCCTGCCCTAGTTCCCCCATTGTCATGGCAAATGACAAATGGGTGGAGTTGCTTTTATTCTGTTAAGCTTAATTACTATATTACACTTTGAAATGGGTGTTCGGTCTCACTTGACTTATCGAAATTGAAAATTTCTCATTTAACCTTAGAGTCTTTAAAAATTGCTTAAATTTTCTCACTTTACCACTTCCGTTAATTTTCATCAACAAAATCGTTAAATGTGTTGACGTGGAATGTACATTTTAGTAATTTTAACTATTAAAAAATTATTAATCCAAATTAAATATAAAAAACATATTAATTTTTTATAAAAAATTTAGGGTTAACAAACCCCATTTTCCCTTTCTTTGCTTCCCATCAAATCACCAGCCCCCACTTCCATCTTCCACTCTTTCCTTCTTGGTCACCCTCATCCCCAAAGCACTCAGCACACCCCCCTGAAACTCTCTAGTTCCTCTCCCTATCTCTCTCTATCTTTGATTCGCTAATCTCCCTTCGATTTCACTAGTCGATGGTCGGTGGTGGTTCGATGGGTAATAGGTTGGTTAGGGTTGAGGATGGTGGCTCGATTTGGTATGGGTGGAGTTACTAGTGGGTTCGATTGGATGGTGGTGGTCTAAATTGGTATGGGTGGGGTTGTTTGTAGGTTCAATTGGATGATGGTAGTTGGATTTAGCGCGGGTGATGTGGATGGTGGTGGTGTTGATAGTGTGGACAGGGTTGATTGGGTAGAGGTGACAATGAGGTTTGTTACTGCTTCTTATGGTGGTTGTGGTCTAACTAGGTGGTGGATTTGATGGTGGAAGTTGTGGCTAGTTTGACTGTGACTAGGGGGTGTTTGATTAATATTGCACCCTCAGTCTTGAAACCACATAATCAAACTTAAAATAAAAATAAATAAATAAATAAATAACCCTCAAAATGTTTTTAAAAAATTTTATAAATATTTTTTATATTTAACTTGGATTTTAAATTTTTTAATAAATACTAGCCCCTCACGCATGTGCCAATCGGTTTTATTTTTTATTTTTTATTTTATTTATAGAATTAAGAAAAGATAATATAGGTAGTTATGTTCCATAAAAGTAGGACCTATTATCTGATTTTGTTTATAATTTTAATTTTTTTAATATGAAAAAATGTGAATTTATCATATTATCCTCAATTAATTAATAATTTCAATTCTTAATTTTTGAATAAACCAAGGGCATTTTCTAGTATTTTGAATGTTTCACCATTCTCTGCCTTTTGTTTTATATATATAGATTCCCAAAAACGGAGAAAAAAACCCATGTCGTTCACCTATATTATAACACCTGTGTAAGATGTACCACGTGACCATACTACCGTAGTATTATATAATTTCTCGTGTGTGAGGCCAACCTTGTTACATGTTATGTGGTCAAATGATATGAACCCACAAAAGATGCTCCTTAACCTTATTTTAGACTTAATTGAAATAATGTAATATGTACTATGAATTAATAAATTTTTTATTTTTTTTACACATGTTCTGAATTAAATTAATTGTTTTCATTGTTGTTTAAAAATAATAATAATAATAATAAAAGAAGGCCCAACTTGACCTACCTAGTTGCAAGAAAGCAAAACTGGACTTAAATTATGAGAGCTGATTTTCCCATTCTCCTTTTGTCCACTTAAGTTACGCTCCCTTTTGTTTTTCTGTTTTAAAAAAAAATTAAATAATTTTTTTTCTTTTTGGTTCTTTCTACCTCTATCCTGCATTAATTTCTTTCTTCTTGCTCCGAGTCTGCAACTTCCAGAAAAAAATTTGGTTGAAATTTTTTCGAAAATTCATAACTTTCTCTCTAGTTGTTGGATTCATGAACCGTCTTTGCCTATAGGATTGTGAGATTGAGCCTAAAAATATAAGGTGAATTTTAAGAGCTGTTGTTGAGATTCTAGAATTTCTCCAATTTGGGGTTTTTGAGATATTATTGTGCAATTCAATGCTTTGTTGTGGTATTGGAGTTATTTTTGGGCATTCGAAGCTTACTTAAGGATTGAAAATCATTTGAGAGCAATTGAAATGCAATTTAATTCAAGGTAAGGGTAGAATAGGAAAGAGAAACTATCACTACCACATTTTACACTTTGCGCGATGAAAAGAATATCTTCGCGCAAAATACATTGTAGTTGCACAAATTTCAGCGTGACAGAAACTTCGTTGAGCAGAATCCGTCGCGCAAAGATTGTGAAGAAAGACTTTGCGCGATGAAATTTTTTTATTGGTCGCGCAAAGAGACTTTGCGCGTCGAAAATTTTTTAAACAAAATTAAAAAAAAATTTCCCGCGTCCCATTTTTGGTACTAGCCCAAATTTTTAGAGTTTTGCGCGACGAAATATTTTGGTTTTTGACTTTTTGTTTTATTATTTCTTTAATATTAATTTAATTATATTAATTATTTCAAATTTTTACTTTTTAAATTTAATTTAATTGTATGATTTTTTTTCGTTACTTTAATTTAAATTGATATTAATTAAATTGTAATAATTTTTTCAAAATTTTACTTTTTAAATTTAATTTAATTGTATGATATTTTTTAATTACTTTAATTTAAATTGACATATTCAAAATAAAATTACATATGAAAAATAGTGATCAAATTATCCAATAAATATATATATAATATCCAAAATGTACACATAAATTAACAAAGTACAATAATAAAATCCTAATACAAGCGTATTGTGGTGGTAGTGGCGGAGGATATGTTTTGCGTGACGAAAAATTGGTTCGTAGCACGATATTTATAAAAATAATTGCTATGAATAGTAAAAATAAAATTATTTTATTTTACGATTTAAAATATAAATAAGGTTAAAGCTACTTAATAAATGTATATACTATTCAATTTCTTAATTGTTATATGTACAAAATAAATAAATTTAAAGCCACTTAATAAGTAAATAAATATATATATATACACACACCATTCAACGATCCAACCGTCAGACTTGTTTGTATATACTTCAAGATCATATACCCCAAAAATCGCAAAAAACCAAACATTCAGAGACCTAGTAACAGGACAAAAAATTTCAACGGTTATAAATGAAAAATCACGATTTAACGGTTATTTTAACTCCGATTTTGATGATTTTTTACAGCTACACTCCTTGACCCTATATGAATACAATGAACTAATTCGATCATCAATTTAAAATATTTACACTAGTGGATACCACAAAATCTTATGTTATATTTAACAAAAGTATAAATAAACTCTTAATTGTTAGTGAATATATTGTTTTGATGGCATACGCATTCTACGAAACTAGTTTCAACGATCCAACCGTCAAACTTGTTTGTTGATACTTTGAGATCATATACGCCAAAAATCGGAAAAAATAAACATTCAAAGATCAAGTAACAGGACAAAACTTTACGACGGTTATAAATGAAAAATCACGATTTAACGGTTATTTTAACTCCGATTTTGATGATTTTTTACAGCTACACTCCTTGACCCTATATGAATACAATGAACTAATTCGATCGTCAATTTAAAATATTTATACTAGTGGATACCACAAAATCTTATGTTATATTTAACGAAAGTATAAATAAACTCTTAATTGTTAGTGAATATATTATTTTGATGGCATACGCATTCTACGAAACTATTTTCAACGATCCAACCGTCAAACTTGTTTGTTTATACTTCGAGATCATATACACCAAAAATCGGAAAAAATAAACATTCAGAGATCAAGTAATGTGACAAAACTTTTCGACGGTTATAAATGAAAAATCAAGATTTAACTGTTATTTTAACTCCGATTTTGATGATTTTACGGCTACACTATTTGACCCTATATGAATACAATGAACTAATTCGATCGTCAATTCAAAAAATATATTTTCTAACAAAAAGATTTTAAAAAAGAATTTATTTTATTTTATTTATTTTTATAAGGACTTTGTGCGATGGAGTTTATTGTTTTGTTACGCAAAGTGACTTTGCGCGACGAATTGTCTTTCGTCGAGCAAAGTCGCTTTGCGCGATGAATTGTTTTTCATCGCACAAAGTGCTTTGCGTGACGAATTGTTTTTCATCGAGCAAAGTGACTTTGCGCGACGATGTATTGTCGTCGCGCAAAAGTTTGTCGCTCAAAGTGATTTTGCACAACGAAAAATAATTCGTCGCGCAAGGTTTGTAGACAATAATTTTTGTGTTTCGTCGCGCAAGGTGACTTTGAGCGAAGAATAATTTTTCGTCGCGCAAGGGTGATTTTTTACTAGTGTATAAAAAAAGGACAAAATTGATTAAAAAATAAAAAGGAGTGTAAATGGACAAAAGAGGAGTGGGTAAATCAGCTCCCTAAATTATTCCAGAAACAATTTGCAGAAACATGTTTCAATGTTGCGATAGCAGAGTAGCATGCTATTATATTCTCGAGCAATATCATTGTCACGCCTAGGACCTGGGGGTCGGTGGAAATCCTGTGTCTGTTGGGTGAGAAAAATAAAAAAGATAAAGAAATATAAAGAGTAGCCGAAACATGGGTTTAAAATTAATTTCTCTTATACTATAGCTCCAAAGTCTTACAAGTGTACAATAAATAAATAAAGCTCTATTACTCTCATCTAATTAAGCCTCAACTGGTTTAGTCCTTGTCTTGCTCACTAACTCATCTGAAAAATTAAACAAGGTGAGGGATGAGCAACCACTACTCAGTGAGTAGAATATTATGTAATATGCCAGTCAAGTAATGCCGTTTTACACACTCTATAAAATATTATGAAAAGATACACCAATCCAGATCATATCACATCCCTTCATATCTCGGTTATCCTTCATAGCATGTAACCAACCACAGGATCCCTATTAGCCTCACTGCCCTATGTCCTAGTATGGTACATCTATCCCTCTGATACCCCAACATTGAAGTTCTCATATTCCATTAATAATACATACTTCATAAATATTCCAATCAATATATATATATATATATAGTGTGAAAGATTGCAGCAAATTAGACATGCTTGACTTGAAATAGAGAGATATTTGTAAATAGAACAAATCCACGATAATTCATGGTTTTCATATTTGATCACAAAATAAGAACTTTTAGAACACATTACATAAACCACTCACCTTGATAATGAGAACCCATAAAATAAATTGACAAGACAACCTATCTACCTATCTCCATGTACTACCATGCAAGCCAAGTTCCTAGAGTTTCATCCCCTCTCTCTCTCTCTCTCTCTCTCTCTCTCTCTCTCTCTCTCTCTCTCTCTCTCTCTCTCTCTCTCTCTCTCTCTCTCTCTCTCTCTCTCTCTCTCTCTCTAAAAGAACTATCACTTTGTATGGAGTGCATGCAATCTCTAAGTTGTTTTAGTATTGCACTATTTCACAAGACTAACTAATATGTGTATTTCAAAAGAACCATCGAAGAGGTCTATTTATACTACAAAGAGGCTGGTGATATGCTTGACTCCAAGATTACCCAATTTTCCCTTGATGCTAACAGCTCATGCTTTAAATAAAGGCTTAGTCATCTAGGTAGACACTTGTGAAGAAACTAGGGTGGTGCATATAGGTAAGATTTGATGTAAATACGACCTTAAGTAATAAAGCTTGTACGTGTCCCCCTTACAAATCCAATTATATAACAAACACATAAATATTATTATAATAGTATTGCTCTTAATAATTATTATAAAAGTAACAACTATATATACATACTATGTGGCAAGGTAACTACATATATACAATTATAACCAAAATATACATATATAATGAATTAAACATAATTTCACTTATAA